AGCAGGAAGGTAGGCAGGTGGCCTCCCCAGGGCAGGGTCCTGGCTAGTGGTGTGGGCAGCAAGAAAGGAGGGTAGCCTTGTGCTCTCCTCTAGGGAGTAGGGGACTGGAATTGGAACATGTGTTGGGTTGTATGTTTTCTGAAGCTTCAGTTACAATTCGTAAACAATAAAAAGGTCTCCGAAGATCTTGGTGGGTCAGTTACTGTACTTCACTCTCCCGGCTGCGAACCTGACAGGCCCAGGTTTTTTTTCTTGGTCTTGGAGTACTAGCCCCAAGTGTAGTCTGAGGGCCACTGTGTCCGCAGACGAGGAGGAAGCCACGGGGCAGGTGGAGAGACCCTGAGCCGGATCAGAGGGCCTGGGTTTATGGTTTGTCTAACTGGCTCTCAAATATTGGCAAATCAAACCTCTCAGGCTCCTTTCCCACAAATACAAATACAGGGTGAGACTCAGTGACCTTCCTGCTCTTAAAATTAGGAATGTAGAGTTCTAAACGCTCGAAAGAAAAGGCGAGAAGAGTATCCCCCAGGCGAGGTGCACAGATGAGGAAGAGCGTGGCAGGTTGGGGGCAGGGTTTGCCCAGTTGGCCCCATGGCCCTGGGCTCGCTGAGAGCATGGCTGGTGGGGTTGGGCACGAGGGGGCTCCTCCGTGGCCCCAGCCCACTGACACCAGCTTCACGGGGGGAAGACATGCCCGCCTGGGTCTAAAGTCTCCCTCCCAGCTTCTAACAACAGTGCTCTCCACGTGGGGCCATTGGAATTTGTGTGATCTCTGGCTGGCACCTGGGACATGGCTATACATGTCCTCTTTGTTCCTGCCAAGCTGTTACCTGAAAAATACCTGTGGGTTTCTGCCTCTGCCTTCACTGCATCCCCGTCCGCCTCACTGAATTCCACACCTGCTGCAGACTTTCTGGCTCACTGTGATTGATTTCTGCCCAGTTTGGAGCCACTCACTTGACAATCAAATTCTTTTCTCAAGAGGTGGTTGGTGTGAAAGCCTTATCTTCCCAGCAAGTTT